ATTTTTGTATTTCTTCTAACTGTTGTTTATATGTGTTAAATATAAAACTATAAAGCAATAAAAATGTACATTCTGGGAAATCAGTTCTGTTGGAACTGACACATAAAAGAGTAGTCAGGAGTCTGACACATGAAAAGACACATGTAAAAGTAATTGGGAGTTGGGCATGGTGGCTCACGTCTGTAATCCCAACACTTTGGGAGGCCGAGGCAGGTGGATCACCTGAGGTCAGGAGTTCAAAACCAGCCTGGCCAACATGGTGAAGCCCCATCTCTTCAAAAAGACAAAATTAGCCGGGTGTGGTGGCACACACCTGTAATCCCAGCTACTCTTGAGGCTGAGGCAAGAGAATTGTTGAACCCAGGAGGCAGAGGTTGCAGTGAGCTGAGATTGCACCACCACGCTCCAGCCTGGGTGAAAGAGTGAGACTCCGTTTCCAAAAAAAAAAAGTAATTAGGAATTTATGCTGAGAAATTATATATAATGTTAAAATTATATGGTATTGAACTCAGAATTTAGTAGCTGTATGTAGATTCTGATGATATCAAAACGTGTTGCCTAGAATCCTCTACTCAGGAATGGATTATTACAGAGCACTCAGTTTTCTAAATATCTGAAAGCTTGCCATCTTCAATGCAAAGTATTCTTTAGTCTGCTTTAAAAGTTTGGTTCCCCCCCCCACCCTCCACTTTCTATGTGTATTTTTTCTTTCCCTTTACTGTGTGTTTAGTGTTCCTGGCCACTAGTCTGTATTTCTGCTGCTAATTTGCTATGAGTTTGGAATTTAAATAAGTTGACTGAGAGGCAGTAGGAGAGAGTTGGACATGGAATCGGGAGTATTTTTGCTGAATTTCACGAATTAAGAATCATATGGGCATTCGCATAATAAAAACAAGTCATATACAAGATACAAAAGATCACTCTAGTCTTAGAAACTTTGCCATAGCAACACCCAGCAAAAGAAAAAAGAGTATAGAACTGTATCTTCAAAATTCTGAAGGAAAAAAAAATGGTCCAACCATTTTATAACCATTCAAATTGTTTTTCAAATAAGGCAAAAGACAGCCTAACCCAGGAATATCAGAGAAGTGCAATACCCATGATACTCTTATTTTAAAACAAATAAGTAATAAAATACCTGAGTACATCAGGCAATCAAGAGATGAACAAAATAAAAACTAAGAAATTGGAGGAGCCTTAGAAAAATGCTGTGCATCAACTCCACTTGAGTTCTCACACTAGCAACTTGGGGAATTACGGTTTCAGACCAGAATGTAGATGTTATAAACCTTCGAAGTCTTTGTTAAAACATCAAAACTTTTCTTTCTAATGGTTATAAATAGAAGAGAAATGAAAAAATAGCAAAACTATTATTTACCATATGGTAATTAAAAATATTAGAAACATTGAAATTTAAAGTGCTTTCATTTTTATTTATTTATTTATTTATTTATTTTGAGGCGGAGTCCCTTGTTGCCCAGGCTGAAGTGCAATGGCGAGATCTCGGCTCACTGCAGCCTCTGCCTTCCGGGTTCAAGTGATTCTCCTGCCTCAGCCTCCCGAGTAGCTGGGATTACAGATGCCTGCCACCATACCCAACTAATTTTTTGTATTTTTAGTAGAGATGGGGTTTCACCATGTTGGCCAGGTAGTCTCAAACTCTTGACTTAGGTGGCTCACCCACCTTGGCCTCCCAAAGTGTTGGGCTTACGGGCATGAGTCACCGCACCCGGCCTTATTAATTATTTTTTTAAACAAAAAACTCTTAATTAAGAGTGGTTTAAACAGTGCTTACCTTGCTGCCTTCTCATTGTATAACTTCAGATATGGAGCAGGTATCTTTTCTATACTTGGTGAATTGGCATACTCCTTTCTAAATTTGAATCAGCTTTAAATATTTTGTCCTTTGCTCTTTCAGTGTCATGAAATATCTCTGAGGATTTCTTCAATGGGAAGTCTTTTTTGTGGGCATAACTTTTTCTGTGTCATCTTCAACCTTTATGTCACAACTACTTAATGTGTGTCAGTAACCTGGCCTTTATTACGTTTCTGTGGCTGCTTATCTATAGTCTCTTGAATGGAGAAAGTGTCGACATTCCCATGGTCAGCTAAAATTTGTTGATAACTTCATTTATGTTCAATTCAAATTTCACTTCGCATTGTCACTTTTTATTTTTTTGCCTGACTCTTATCTTTGTTGGCTAATTCCCCTTTGATTTTTCAGTTTTGTAAACTGTTACATAGGATTATCACGGGGGTAACAAGGAGGCAACATACACTCATCTCCGTGTGAACTGAGTAAACAGAGTGATCATTCACTTGACAGACTTTGAAAGAAGTAATGTGATTGATTACCGATCATGATGAGCATGTTATTTAGTGATTTGTAGACTAAAGAGCTAGCATCAAAGTTTGTGTTTTATGTAATTACAGTTAATATATCATGATAACTGAAATTTGAACCATGTTGGGTGTGTAACGAAATTGTAACTTGTGCATAGTGAGACCATACAAAGTGAGACTACCTCTAATAATATAACTGACAAAAATCCTATATTGAGGGGGAGAATTATGAGTATGTTAATCCTATTATTCTTGGCGCAGGGAGTTAGTATTACCTAAAGTTGAAACATGTACTTAACACAGTGATTCTAACTATATTTCTCGTAATTATATTTTATTAATTTTAGAGGAATCTTTCAGAAACTGTCCCTTGGTGAAGGAAATATAAAGATCAGCAGGTCTTTATTGTTTTTATTCTTTTCTATTAAAACCCGTGGCAAGTAGGTAGAAATGTTCTAGTCCAATTTCACAAAAGCAACCACCCAACTTAAAAGAGCCTAGCTCTGGCTCGTGACCACCAGCATCAACTCCTGTGCTCTTTGGGCATTAACGTAACTCCCACTAAAATCTGTCTTTATCCCTAATACCCATGTTATGGTCAGTGCAGCTTTATCTTCTATACTCCACCATTTAATTTTGGTACTTGAAAATTTCTTAAGCTCAACTATGTATTAAAAAATAATTTATAACATTGATTTAGCATTTCATTGTGTTTGTAGTGGTAGGGAAGGAAGATTCCTCCTTGTACTTCATTACCATCTACACCAGAAATGATCTGTCATGGTCATTCTTAAAATAACAAAAATCCCAGTAATGCAAACTATAAAGTACCTATTAATAATATTAAGAAATATGCGCAACCTATAGGGTGAAACTGAATTCATAAAAGAATACCTGAATTAATACAGTGACCTACTGTATTCTGAGAAAGGAAGACTCAATTGGTAAAGATACCAATTGTCCCCAAATTCGGCTCTTCCAGTTAAAATTTCAGTAGAATTTAAGGGAATTTCAAAGTTCTTCAGAAGGGTAAACTTAATAAAATAATTTTCATATAATAAATTAATGGTTTATTGAGTTTAATGATAATTAAAATTTAATTTTAATTTTTATAATTATTTAAATTATTGATTTTAATTTTAATTATTTTAATGATAAAATAATGGTTTTGGAGTAAGAATAGGCAAATAGGTCTGTAGAATGAATAAATACTACAGAAACATGGGTTGGTTTGTGAAAAGTTTAAAACTAATGAACCCAGTATTTCAAGCCGTTGGGGAAAGGATGGATGGTTTTAAAAGTAGTATTTAGAACATTATCTATTTTGGGGGAGCAAATACAGTTACATTCCTATTTCATATTATAAATGAAAATAGATTCCAGATGGAGTAAATATCAATACAAAAAAAATTATAAGAGTGCTGTTTTCAGAGGCTCAGGATATCCTTTTAAAGCATGCTTGAAAGCCAGAAACTGTAAGGTAAAAGCAAAATAAAGTCAAAAGCCAAACAAAGGAGAAAAATATTTACTATATGTAACAAACATAATGTATGAGAGTCTCTTTTGGCCAGAAAAAGCAACCAGTAGAAAGATGGGCAAAAGATAGACATTTCAAAAAAGAAATAGCAATGGATAATACAAAAAGATATTTATCTTTATTAGTAATGAAACTTTAGATACCATCTTTTACCTAGGAGATTGGCAGAATGTGAACTATTGATCATTTCCTATGTTAGTGAGAATGTAATTGAGTGTAGATTGGTGTCCGCAATTTGTAGCGTTTACCAAAAATTAGTTATACATACCTTTGACCCTAATGGGTCTATTTTTAGGTTTCTAATACATAGAAATACTGGCATATGTTCAAAAGATACATGCACATAGGTGTTTATTGCAGCACTGTTTATATAGTGAAAAATTGAAATCAACCTCCATGTTCATCAATAGAGGGATACTTTGAGGAGTGGGCACTGCTAAGGGGATAGACTGGAGTCAGGGCACCTGGCTTTGAATTCTGGATCATTTACTGGATGTGTGCTCTAGGCTTACTTAACTTCTCTGGGCCTCAGTTTTCTCATCCATGAATTGGAGATAATTGAATCTACTTCAGAGCATTGTGACAATTAAATTAACTAAAATATATAGATAGAATGGTGCTTAGAATATAAGTACTCATTAACTATTAGCTAATGTTATCAGTTTGTAGTTGTTAGAATAGAGTACATCTGTAACATTCTAATAACATAGAAAGAAAACTCCATGATTTAAGTAAACAAATTTTAGAGCAATAGGTGCATATGGCATGAACACCTGTTGGTAAATAAAATTTTAGAATAATATATGTGTATGTATTTGGGATAAATCTGGAAGGATAAATGCCAGTCTTATCAGTAGTTACCTCTAGGAAGTGAGATTGGGGAGGGGAGGGGAAGCAGATTATCAGTTTTTTAAAGAAATTTTTTTGGTATTGTTTGACTTTTTTCCAAGCATGTATTACATTTCTAAGTAAAGATTTTTGAAAAGATTCCACAGGGTGTAAATTTAGTACAACTTTTGACTAACTTATTTTATTTTTTAACTGTGAAGAAGTTATGTTCTCAAAATGATGTGTGTTTTCTCTTATTTTCCTTAGTGACTTACTAAAGCTTTCCTTGCAGGAACATGCTTACCCTGCTGATGAACTCATGCCTTTAACCTGTAGAGGTCGAGTTAGAGGCCAAGAGCCAAGTCGCGGTGACGTCGATGATGCCTTGGGAAAGTGAGTATTAGTTAACACAGTGCATGGCATGGCATCTCAGAGTTCCCAAGTCTTAGACTTTTAGAGGCAGTTTACGTATAATATTTCTAGGGATTGGCTAAGTTTTAAAGACTGTTTTATGTATTACATTATGCTTCTTTATTCCCTTCTGTTATCATTTGTAAAAGATTAATCAGTTTACATCTTGGATCAGAGAAAAGTTAGTTATTAAGCTGCATATAACTTAAAATATATGTAACTTTTAAAATATTTATAAAGTCATTAGCACATCAGACTGTTGATGTTTTAATATTTTCATTTGTTTTCAGAGCTAGTGAATGTTTCTATGTGTCTTGAAGGTGTATAGATTCATTGAACATAAATATAAAGGCTTTTCAGTTTTTTTCAGAGCTTTATAGGTTACATTGTACTATAGATACATGGAAGTACTAATTTATAGAAACTACCAATCAATAGAACGTAGATAACTCTACTTGTACATTCATAAACTATTTAGAATTCTAACGTTTTATATCTTGTTACACTTGTTTCTTAGATTTTCTCTGACACTGATTGATTCTTTGGACACTCTTGTGGTAGGTTTGACTCTTCTTGGATTTATTTTATTAATTTCATGATGTGCACACTTAAGTATTATGAATGTGATCATAACACAGTAATAGTAAGTATGAAATAGGAGCCTTCAGAATTAAAGGTGTTCTGATCTTTGTTTCTAAATAAATCTTTTACACTGTTGAGTTGATGATGTCAAATGGAATTATGTAACATAATGGAGATACCCAAATAATTTATGGGAATGTCAACTTATGTAATGGCACCTTAATTAGGAAGGTCCTTTTCCCCCCTTTGGACAAGGAGGTTGAAGCTACTGGAAAAAAGTAACTTTAGAAAATACCATTGATGTTTTTCCAAAATGACATGCCACAATGATGCCAAAATTGTTAAATTAGAATCTGTATATGCTGTGTTCATAAGCAAAAAATTAATTTTTCTCAGCAGTGATTTTTAGCACCAGCTGATCACTTCTTGGTACTCCTTTTCAACATCGTACAGTACAGAAATTTATTTCTGGTTTAGGACTGTTTGTGATGACAGAGGGGAAAGATTGAGTTACAGGTGTCATGATTTCTAAATACAGTATCTTTTTAGTTTTTAACTCTTAGATCATTATGGTATAAAAGTAGGCTTTTGTGAGAATTTTCCTTAAGGCATAATTCCCAACTTCCAGTTAATGTCCCAAGTCCCAAGTGGTGATTAATCTTTAAAAAACAAAACAAAAAACCTTTGGGTTGTCAGAAATTTTTTGGAACTAGGCTTTTCTTCTCAATGTTGTTTCTGCCTTCTTCTTTCACTGGAGTATTTTTTCTTTTTTTTAGAGCAAAAATTCTCAACTCTAAAAGCAACTTAGGAGGATCACTTGTGATTTAAAAAAAATAGCCCCTCCTAAGTTATTCTGATACAGTTGTTTTGGAGCGGGGCTGGGCATCCCTTCGAAAGCTCTTTTGTTCAAAAATGCAGTTATGGTTAAGAAAAATCACGGTGGTTTAGATCTTTTTAGCTAGTCAGGGTTTGAAAGTCACAGCTTCATTTTTCAGAGATTAATGGAATATGCAAACTATATTACAGTAACTATGAGAAAGAGAAAATACTGTGTACCTTGCTTTTGGTTTATTGGTCTACGGTTTTCCGCATATAATCGGGGAAGAGAAAATATATACAAAATATCCTGGAAGGCAGATGACCACTTTGGGAAAATCTAAGTGGTGTTACTTATTCGTAACTATAGCTGGCTTATGCACATTAGGTCTATTTTGTTATTGGGGAGGAAATGAAGAGCAGACCTGTGTGCTGGAAAAAATCATAGGTGCATTTAAATTTGTTTCTCATTCTGTAATCTTGGCTTTATCTATAGCAGGTTCCCCCATCATTTCTCTGACAGTGCTTAGTTGATTTTCATGAATATGGACCTTAGATATCCTGTGTGTTTTAAAAAATATTATCAGAAATGAAGGAGAGCCAAGTGTAGGGGTGTGCACCTGTGGTCCCAGCTACTTGGGAGGCTGAAGTGGGAGGACTGCTTGAGCCCAGGAGGTTGAGGCCACAGTGAGCCATGATTGCACCACTGTACTACAGCCTGGGCAACAGAGCAAGACCCTTTCTCAAAAAAAAGGGGGGGGTGCAGAAAAAGTCGTTCCAAGCTATATAACTTTGCTGTGTTTACAAATCCATCTGGCAGCCATTAGTTCTTATAAATGATATATCCTTCAGTTTATACCATTTCTGTATTTTGGCATCGATTCTCAAAATAGGGTCCCTAGTCCAGCAGCATCAGCATTTCCTGGGAACTTGTTGGAAATACAGATTCTCAAGCCTTATCTCAGAAATACTGAAGCAGAAACATTGAGAGTGAGACCTAGCCATCTGTTTTTAAACAAGCTTCTAGGTGATTCTGACGTATGCTAATTTTTTAAAGCACAGTACAATGAAGCAGTGCTTTGTAAACTTCAGTGTACTACAAGTTGCCTAAGAAATCTTGCTAAAATGCAGATTCTGGTCCGGTGGATCCAACATGGAACCCAAGAGTCTGCATTGCTAGTAAACTGCCTGATGGTGTTCAGCAGACCACCTTTGTATTATGCAGCTGTGGTGTGACCTGAGTTCTGTCTTCTTGTGGCAGGAAGTAACAAGAAGTGATCACGTAATATTTTTATTTATGACCTTGGCCAAATTGTTTAACTTCTCTGGGCCCCTGTTTTTATCTCAGAAGGGGCTAGAATGGATATTGTCTCTGTTAACTCTGAGATACTATTTATTTCTGATCTTTGGTTCCGAGTCAGATAAATAGCCCCCATTTGTTGAAACTCTCTTCAAGAGGAGTCAAGAAGAAAGTTTGATGAAGTCTTATAAATATTTAAAAAATGATACTTCATAAAATCTTTAAATTTCAGTCTTTTCAAGTGGGAATAGAAAGAAACTTACTATATGTCATTATCATTTTGAAATGTAAAAGTTCATTTGGAGTTTTTATAGCTATCTTAAACATTTTCTTTTTAGCTTAAACAGAAGAATTAGGGGAAATTAAAGGACTTTGAAAGTTTTTTCTACATTTAGAAGGAATGCTATCTTGTACATTTTGTCAGTATAAGTATTAATATTTCTAATTTACGTTGCTTTTACTTTGTGATTATGTTTTCATTTTGTGATTTAGTAATTTGAAAATATTAATGGGACGTGTCACTTGTAATAGTACACACAACCCTAGTGTTTTCATTTTGGTCATAACCATAATCTGTGAAGTAGAATTACTGTTGTCATAGTTTAATCTTTAAAACTGTTCATAATTCCAGCCATCTAGTTTCTGTTGATTGTAATGGAGTCAAGCACTAACATTTTAAGCTAAGCTTACCTTTAAATTCAACATTACCATGAAATCTGTAGAAAAAAATAAAATTGAAACAAAGATAATGGGGGAAAGGATCAGACCTGAGGTTATCCTTTGTTATCAGCTAGGAGCTTAAGAAACTCATTAAGTAGTAGAGCTGTAAAAATGAATTTTTTAGCTAATTGTGGACAAAGAGAACTCTCTTTCTACTTTATTCTGCCTTAAAACAAATGTCACTGGGACTAATATTCTTGTTTGTTTTGATTTTGGAGAGAAGGGGGAAAAGTTACTTTTTAGTTAGAGAGGTAGTTCAGGCCTTAAAGAAAACACACGGAAGAGTCTGATTACAAGCTAGAAGAGTTCAAGAGGGGGGAATTCCCAGGAGAGAAACCTAGGGAGAAGAATTAGATTAACAAAGTGATACTAAAATGTGTATGTGTGTGGAGGGTGGGGATAGTGGAACAGTTATGTCTCATTCCAAAAGTGATAGATGCACTGTATGTGCCTGCATTTATTGCTGTTGACTTGATGTGGACTTTGAGATTGAGAAGGGAGAGCAGTCAGTTTAAAATCAGATTTCATATTATGTTTTAGTCAGGACTTACCCTAAATTTTACTTTTACTGAATTTAGGGAGATACTCTTATGGAATGTTTTATACATTCGAATTTTTACTGAAAGTATCAAATCAAATGAAAAAGCACAACAAATTATTATCAAACCAGGAAAGATTAAACAGTTAAGTAAAAGAAAACTACTTTTAATGCACCTAATCTCTAGGTAACATCTCATGTGCAGCGTTAATTTAGACTGAAAAATCATAGCAGCCTATGTGATGACAGGGGCCTCTTTTGTTGCTCATTGCAAGAATCCACAAAGTTCTTAGTTTAGTCAGGATTCTAGATCTGCATGGTTAATAGTTGTAATTATTTTAAGCACTTAAGTCAGACACTCTATTAAAATCATTTTACATACATTATCTAATTTAAGAAAACAACCCTATAAGAGTAGGTATTTCCTCTTTTTATAGATGAAGGAACAAGCTCAGAGATGGAAGTAAGTTGCCTGGGATCGCAAAGATAGTGAGTGAAACAACCAGAATTCAAATCAGGGCATGACCACAACATTTGTATAGCCTCCTTAGTGAACGGAGCATCCGTGGAGTGAAGCTAGCAGGGGATACATAGTTTAGGACCAATTGAACATGCTTTGAAGAAAGTGCTTTCTTCTGAGAATAAAAGCAACTTTTAGAATGTATCTGGTGAATAGGATGGTTTTTAATTTTGTTTTGACTTAGAAGCCAAATTCTACTGGAGCTCACCTCATGTAGCCTGGGTCATTAAGAATCCAGTTAACAGGTCTGATGATGGTAGCTTCAAAGTCCTCATAATATTTCAGTGTATGCAAAGAAGTGTATAAAGATGCTATATAATTAGATACTTCATTTTTTTCAGTTTTAGATATTATTACGTTTTTATAATATACTTAGAAATATTATTTGTGTATGTCACTTCTTAGAGTTTTAAAGTAGACTGACTTTTAATAGCTCATTCTAAGAATATTTCTCCTTGACTTGATAGAAAAGAACTTTATTTCATAATTTTCTTCTCCTAGGTATTAAATAAAACTAAAGAATTCGAAGATGCAGTGAGAAAAGTTTTAAGAGATGTTAATTTAGATAACGATGTAGTCGTATCAGTCTTTGAAACAAACATCAGAGTTCTTGGGTAAGTATGAAAGACACTAAAGATATAATTTTATTTTATTTTTATTTATTTATATATATTTTTTGAGACAGAGTCTTGCTATGTCACCCAGGCTGGAGTGCAGTGACAATCTTGGTTCACGGCAGCCTCCGCCTCCTGGGTTCAAGCAATTCTCCTTTCTAAGCCTCCTGAGTAGCTGGGACTACATACAGGTGCACACCACCAAGCCCAGCTAATTTTTGTATTTTTAATAGAGACGGGGTTTCACCGTGATGGCCAGGCTGGTCTCGAACCCCTGACCTTAAGTGATCTGCCCGCCTCGGCCTCCCAAAATGCTGGGATTACAGGAATGGGCCACCATGCCCAGTCTATAATTTTAATATCAGAAAAGTTTAGGATATATTGTTTATTTCTTGATGGTAATCATGCAAGAAGTTTCTTGTGTTTAAAAGATGTAAGTTGAAACATTATGAAACACAGAGGCTTGTATTTAATCACTCACAGACGTCTGTAGACTCAAAGGTAATATCTGTATGTTGTTAAAAAGGGAATATAGGTTGAACATTAGTCAGCTACATCACAGGTTTTTCACCAGCTTATGTAGTTTGTTAAAAATAGCCAAGCACCTCTTCAGGTAAGCCATATGAAACTGAATTTATAAGATTACCTCTCAACAAACAGTTTGAAATGCTCTTGGGACTTTTTTTTTTTTTTTTTTTTTTAGGAGACAGACTCTCGCTGTGTTGCCAGGCTGGAGTGCAGTGGTGCGATCTCGGCTCACTGCAACCTCCGACTCCCTGGTTCAAGTGATTCTCCTGCCTCAGCCTCCCAAGTAGCTGGGATTACAGGCACCTGCCACCACACCCAGCTAATTTTTGTATTTTTAGTAGAGACGGGGTTTCACCATGTTGGCCAGGATGGTCTCGATCTCCTGACCGCGTGATCCACCTGCCTCGGCCTCCCAAAGTACTGGGATTACAGGCGTGAGCCACTGTGCCTGGCCAGGACATTTTTTTAAAAAGATGAAATTACAGGATTTATTAGTTCAAGTTTCAACTTTATTTAATTTTTATAGTTTTGATTAAATGTTTGTTATTGTAACTCCTTTCTTTTTGTCAAAATGAGTCTACTCTTCAATTAAATACAAGAAATTGTACATAGTTTATTAATCTAGAGTGAGAGATTTTTATGTTTTAAATAATATTCTAAGTTAAAGACTTCATGGTGATACAACTAAATTTTTAAATTAAAAAATTGTTAAAATATTTGTTAGATTTGTTAAATGTAATATCTAGGATTTTCTTTAAGAAAATTTAATCTATTTAAGAACACAAAACTTCACAACAGGATAGAATATCTAATTTAAAAAAAAAAATTGATTCTATAATTGTAATGGTTTGCCATAAAATGAGCAGTGTTAAGTAAATAATGTTTAAATAAGTTTTGTTTTTCTTTAACTATGTTAAATTGTATAACAAAGTACCCACACCTTTTGAGATGGTAACTTTTAATTGTCTATAAGATATGGATAATGTTTCATTTCTGTGATCCTAGGGGTCTTTTGGGTGGGCATTCCCTGGCAATCATGCTGAAAGAAAAAGGTGAATATATGCAGTGGTACAATGATGAACTTCTCCAAATGGCAAAGCAGTTAGGTTACAAACTTTTACCGGCTTTCAACACTACCAGTGGCCTTCCTTATCCAAGAGTAAGTACTTCTGAAAAATATGAGTCTTTAGGTACTTTCTTTGCTGTTTGACAAAATGAAGTTTTGTGATCAGAGCCGTTGTTATTCACCTACTTGAGGCTGAAAAAAAATGCTTCAAAGCTATATAACAAATTTATATTTTCATTTCAATTAACTGATTACACTTCTAAGTAATGTGATAATTAGATTAGATTAAGCTTTAAAAGGTTTTATTTCTAATTTCTGTGGGTACATAGTGGGTATATATTAATGGGGTACATGAGATATTTTGATACAATCATATAATGCATAATAATCACATCAGGGTAAATGAGGTGGCCATTACCTCAAGCATTTATCATTTCTTTGTGTTACAAACATTCCAATTATACTATTTTAGTTGTTTTAAAATGTATGATACATTTCTGTTGACTGTAATTGCTGTGTTGTGCTATTAAATACTATATCTTATTCTGTCTGACCTGTTTCTGTACCCATTAACCATCCCCTATTCCCCATCCCCACCAACTACCCTTCCCAGCTTCTGATAACCATTGTTCTACTCTTTACCTCTATGAGATCAATTGTTTCAATTTTTAGCTCCCACAAATGAGTAAGAACATTCAAAATTTGTCTTTCTGTGCCTAGCTTTTTTTTGAGATGGAGTCTTTCACTGTCACCTAGGCCGAAGTGCAGTGGCGCAATCTCGGCTCACTGCAACCTCCACCTCCCGGGTTCACGCCATTCTCCTACCTCAGCCTCCTGAGTAGCTGGGACTACAGGTGCCCGCCACCATGCCCAGCTAATTTTTTGTATTTTTAGTAGAGATGGGGTTTCACTGTGTTAGCCAGGATGGTCTTGATCTCCTGACCTCGTGATCCACCTGCCTCAGCCTCCCAAAGTGCTGGGATTACAGGCGTGAGCCACCGCACCCGGGTGCCTGGCTTATTTCATTTAACATAGTGTCCTCCACTTCCATCCATGTTGTTGTAAATGACAGGATCTCATTCTTTTTCATGGCCAAATAGTATTCCATTGTGTGTATGTATAATTTAAGCTTTAATGTGTCATTACATTACATTGCTGCAGAAGGAAGAACAGATGCTAGACCAGAACTTGGGCACAGAATTATTTGTGTAGAAGATATAATTGAAGCCATTAGTATGTAGGTGTTAACTGTCCAAATGAGAGGATAAAGAGAGAACTCACAGGACAGAGGGAGGGCATGAGGAGGAAGGACAGCCAGTAGAAGGTAAAGTACACAGAGATTTAAGAGGAGAACTGTAGTGTAGTGTAGTGTACAGTATTATAAAATCCAAAGAAGGGAACTTTGAAAGGAGAAAGTGTTCTAGAAAACTTGAGAATTGGGTGCAAACAGAGGCATGAAGTTGTAGTGAATAAAGAGGAACGGATTCAAAGTAGGTGAAAGTAAATAGGAATGAACCACTCATTTTAAGATTTCTTCAGTGTTGGTAGTTAAAGGAGAGTTGGCAATAAAGTCAGTTGAAGGAGTTTTATTGGTTTTCTCCTTTAAAGCACAGGGAAAGAAGCCATTGAAGAGGGAAAGAGCTTTTTCTTCTGATTTATTTCTCATCCTTTATTAACACTATTACTCTCTCCCTCTTGTCCAAGACATACACCTCAGCCATTACCAAACTCTGTCAGTTTTTTTTCTTTTCTTATACCTGTCTTACTCTTTTCTCTCTGGGTTTATGCTTCAGAGCACTTGAAAAACCAGTATCACTAAAATCTAATTTTTGTCAATTTATCTTCAAAAATTGTATGGCTCTTTGTATTGTATTGAGTGTCCCTTAACTTTCAGAATGTTTTATAATTTGGCAGTAGACTTTCTGACATTCTCTCATATTTCCATATCCCGGTGAAATCGTTGTTCTATTTCAGCTACAGCAATCTGTAGTGTCCCCAGAGTCTCTTAAGTTTTTTTTTTTTTCATTCTATGCCTTTAGGCTTACCATCTCTGTCACCTGGCATAACTTCTCTACCAATATAAGTCAAATCAAATAAGGCTCATTTCCTCCATCAAGAAGTCATCCTTGACTGGAGATATAGCATGATATAGGGCAATGCTTTATCAATTTAGTGAGTTGTGACTAGCACTTTTTAAAAATTAAACAGACTAGAATGAAATGTCTTCTTATTTAAATTTCTAGTTTGATATTTTAAGAAGCTTTCCAGTGAACATTCATTTTGTTTGTTTGTTTTGAGATGGTGTCCCTCTATCACCCAGGCTGGAGTACAGTGGTGTGATAATAGCTCACTGCAGCCTCCAGCTCCTGGGCTCAAGTGATCCTCCCACCTCAGCCTCCTGAGTAGCTGGGACTACAGGCACATGCCACCATGCTTGGCTGACTTTTAAACAAACTTTTTGTAGAAATGGGGTTCTCATTATGTTGCCCAGGCTAGTCTCAGACTCCTGGGCTTAAGAGATACTCCCACCTTGGCCTCCCGAAGTACTGGACTCCCCGATGTGAGCCATCGTGCCTGGCCTCTGTAGACATTCTTATACACACCTTTTTACACATTTTTTATTTCTTCCTTAGGATAAATTACTCGTAGAGGAAGTAATAAGTCACAGAGTAGGGAATGCTTTTTAAGACATCAGGTACTTATTGCCCAATTGCTTTCCAGAAAGATTCTACTTTTTTACTTCACAGTGTTGTAAAAGTACATGTGTCATTTTACTGTTACTAATACTGTATATTATTATTTTGCCAACTTGAGAAAAAATTGAATTATATTTTAATATGGATTTTTTTGCTTATTAGTACAGTTAAATTTGTTGATCTTTTTTCTTAGCATATTAAAATTAAAAGCAAAATTTTTTAAACAATATATAAACATTTATTTAATTCAGTTTACTTTTAGTAAGTACTTTTAGTTTTTATTATAAATGGAGGTGTTAGATTTTGAGGAATCTAGCATTTCTTTACTTTTACCATAACATGAGAAGCAGACAAGAAATTAAAACAGAAGATACTATGAGCATTATGGTAAAACAAAGAAACTTACATTATTTTCTTATCCTCTGAAATGTCAAGAAAATTTTTAAAATGATTTTTTATAATAGGACAATAGAAGAAAAATGACTACTGTCCCATCCTTTCTTATACATGCTTAGTATGCTTTGGCCTCTAAAAATTTGTGTAATCAGTCTCTCTTAGATAAGCATATGTAGTTGATAGTATTTGCATTAATGGTTTTAACTCAGATGAATGTACTGTACAGAAATGTTATTGTAAGAGTTAGTGGTCATTTTTTAAACTCATATATAACCTTTAGAGCTAGTACACACTTTGTAATGCCATTTCCTCAAAGTTAATTAAAAGCAACTTGCCAGCTTTTCAGGTAAGATCTCATTACAAACGTTGAGTAGATTATTATATCCATAAAATATAAGGTTAGTAAGAATTCTGTTATGATTTACACATATTTTAAGGATTTTCTAGTGTAGCAAAAAGACAGTGTAAACAAGTTTAGTGTAAGTAATTTATGCTTTTTCTTTTAATAAAAAGGTGTCCTTTTAAAAATTGCCTTGTGACTCTCAGGAACACAGAATTAGGAGGAACCAGGTTCTAGATTGCTTCATGCTTTATTTTATTCCTGCTTTCATCTCTTTTTGTCTTAAACCTCTCAAGAAAGCAGGACAATAAGCTCCTTGTTACTAATTTCTGCAGTAATAGATACTACACCAGTGCTATCTCTAAACCCAGTCATTTGAGTCCTAGTCAGGAAGACAGGAACCTATCTACCAGCCCCTAGATTACCAGAGAATCCCATAAGCAAAAAACGCCCTGAACCCTTCTTCCCTGATTTGTGGAAATGGTAGTGCCCCTTGGATACTGAAATGTATCTTGGTTCTGCATTTAAAAGTTCTCTAATACTGGCTGGGTGTGGTGGCTCACTCCTGAAATCCCAGCACTTTGAGAGGCCAAGTCGGGCAGATCACGAGGTCGAGATTGAAACTATCCTGGCTAACATGGTGAAACCCCATCTCTCCTAAAAATACAAAAATTAGCTGGATGTAGTGGTGTGTGCCTGTAATCCCAGCTACTCAGGAGGCTGAGGCAGGATAATCACTTGAACCCGGGAGGTGGAGGTTGCGGTGAGCCGAGATCATGCCACTGCACTCCAGCCTGGCGACGCGAGACTCCATCCCCCACCAAAAAAAAGGTGTTTAATACCACTTATCTTCAGGAAGGATACAAGATTGAAATGAGCAGATACTATAGACAGTTGTGTTAATAAATAGTCCTTTTACAAATTTTATAGCAATCATCTTGCGATACAGTTCAATATACAAACATCTTAAGTATTATTGTACTAAAACGTTAATGATTCAAAGTATTTCCATTTTAAGGGAAAGGGTACTGAAAGTGGGATACACAAATGTTTATTCTTCTCTATTTTGCTTTTGCTTTCTTGTGACTACTCTTGGACTTTGTCATTCTTAGCTCTCAACTACTCCCAATTCAGCGTTATTTCCTTTTCTGAAATTCACACTTTAGCACTTGTGACTTCCATTTGTTTGGCACTTAATTTATGACTTTTCATTGTTAGTTATTTTCTCTGTTTACATATCTGTCTTATTTGCTCTGTCTGGATTTTAAGCTCCTTGAGGACAAGGATCTATTCCTTTGTATATTGTCATAATATTCCCCACATGGTAGGTAAATAAGCAATAAATATTGATTAGTTGATTGTAGTAATTAACGCAACTGACCAGAAAATATTTTTCACTGTTGACTCTTATTGCAAATACTTGTAAAATTATACTTTACCTTAGTGTAATTAATGTAATTAAATCTTTACTTTATTATTAAGGACTGCTTCATTGTAAGTCGGTCATTCTTAGTATCAATTTTCAATTTTAGTTCTGTAGATAGGGATACAGGCAGCATAAGGGGGTAGGAGATACTTTTCGTTCTTGTTTATGGTGCAGAACTACCTAAAACTAGCTAATCCTACAAAAGTACAAATGATAGAGATAATTACAAGTTTGGGAGGGGATGGAGGGGTACTGCTAGGCTAATAGCACGTGAAAATGTCTCAAGTGGCACTTTACAAAGTAAGATAAATGGCAGTACTCAGGACAACATTAACAGTGATCAGATCCCCATGTCTCACCTACGTTTCACGTTTGTTGTTCGTTTGTTGTTGAGGGGGTGTTTGTTTAGAAATGCCTGGAATCTGTTGATTGGACACTGTTCAGGCACTAGGTATACCTAGCAGTTGATTTATCCAGATAAGTTGAAATATAAATTTTTTTGAGCTTCTCTTTATATAGAGTTTGAATAATAACTTAACCAAGAGTATACCCATGATGTTTTATGTTTGATTTTTTTTGTTATTGGCTGAATCCTTGGCATATACCTCCTTTTTTGTTGGTTAGTTGGATTGCTAAAAAATATTCTTTTTTTTTTTTTGAGACGGAGTCTCGCTCTGTCGCCCAGGCTGGAGTGCAGTGGCCAGATGTCCGCTCATTGCAAGCTCCGCCTCCCGGGTTTACGCCATTCTCCTGCCTCAGCCTCCCGAGTAGCTGGGACTACAGGCGCCCGCCACCTTGCCCGGCTACTATTTTTTAGTAGAGACGGGGTTTTACTCTGTTAGCCAGGATGGTCTCGATCTCCTGACCTCGAGATCTGCCCGTCTCGGCCTCCCAAAGTGCTGGGATTACAGGCTTGAGCCACCGCGCCCGGCTTGAAAAATATTCTAATTTTAGTCAGTGTCTGCTCAGTTTGGGTCTAGTTAATCCAGGTTCATATCGTGGTATTATTTGGATTTTTTTTTTTTAAGACAAGGTCTTGTTCTGTCACACAGGCTGGAGTGCAGTGGTGCTATCTTGGCTCACTGCTACCTCCGCCTCCCACATTCAAGAGATTCGTGTCTCAGCCTCCCAGGTAGCTGGGATTACAGGCATATGCCACCATGCCCAGCTAAGTTTTGTATTTTTAGTAGAGATGGGGTTATGCCATGTTGGCGAGGCGGGTCTCAGACTTCTGGCCTCAAGTGATCCACTCGCCTTGGCCTCACAAAGTACTGGGATTACAGGCATGAGCTACCGCTCATGGCCTATTTGGTTTTCTTCGACTTAGTAAATACCCCTTTGAAAAAATTTCCCTTGTGGTGTTAACCTGCCGGCAAGGACACACTCTATATTTCAAAACCCTTAAAACCCGTAAATGAAATTTTAATTTCCTTTCAAATATACATCATAACAATCCATTTTTTCTTTGTGATGAACTAGTTAATATATAATATAGACTGGTTTTTCACAAATTCTAAACTAACCCTGATTTCTTCTAAGGCTGGTCTACTTCCCTATTCTTGTACTTACTAATTCAAACTGTCCAGGGAACAAAATTGTTATAAAAGATACCTTCTGTGTGTAATTTCCCTTGTAAATATTCCCTTACTTCATGAATATTGTGTGCTTAGAGTATATTTCCCTAGATGTTAATTGGAAGGTCACAGAGATTATCACATTGAATTTCAGTGTTTAGTTATTTTATGAATTATTTTCATGATTTTATGTCAGGACTCGATTGAAAAGTAGTTTGTTATCAGAAAGTCGTTATCTTGATAACTGCTAATGACAATTTTCTAATTGTATTCAGATTAATTTAAAGTTTGGCATCAGAAAACCAGAAGCTCGGACAGGAACTGAGACAGATACCTGTACGGCTTGTGCAGGTACCTTGATCCTTGAATTTGCTGCTTTAAGTCGATTCACAGGAGCAACAATATTTGAGGTTTGCTTTTTACGGTCTTTGATATCCTGGGTATTGGGCATAACTAACTTTATATCTAGTTGGAGAATTACTGTTATTTTAGTGAACTTTTTGTCTAAATTCCTTTACATGGGTTTTAATTGTCAAAAACCTAGAACATTGTGAAGGAGCTATGTTAAATCCAACTTTGCATTTTGTTCACCATCTATAAAGTATATGTTTAGGTTTAATCTTAGAAAGTTTTTTAGCCATATTACTTAAATGAATTTGATGTCTCCTTGATATCATAAATGTCTTATATGAAATACTATGTCCCTGTGTTTTATTTGTTAGACTTCCAGGTGGTCTATTGCACTTCTGAAAGTTCTGGAACCTTCACTAATCTTCTAAAACACAGTGAAATTTTTGTGCTTAAGTCTTGATTGAGACTCGAATCTGTAAATTTGTTTACTGCAAGGGAAATGTTATTCATTATCCAAAAGACTTGAATATCCCCACATAGTTGTTGTGGACTAGCTATGTCTCTCATTAAAACAATCTCATTATTTAAGCATGTCATTGGAGTGCAGTGTTAACACAAAGCACCCTCTTTTTCAAGCATATGACTTAGGTTAATGTTTAAAAATCCAGCAAATGGCAAACAGAACAAGCAGAAATAGGGACTGTGTACCAGCATTACAGATATTAGATCTGAATGTAAAGAAAACAAATTGACTTTGTGTGTATGTATGTCTGTAAGTTAAAATGTCTCAAGGACAGATTTATCATGTTTGGTTGGTTAATCTTTTAAACTTAAATTTTTATTCTATATCTTGTTCACTAATATTTTCCCTTCATTAAAAAGTGTGGATACTTTTGCGTACTTTAATAATTATAAACTCTCAGATATTGATGCAGTTACAGGTGAGGAAAATAAGGCTCAAAGACTATGAGAGACCTGCACAGCTGGTAGGTGATGCATGGAATTGGAATTAGAATCCATGTCTTTCTGAATTTGAAACCTATACTCTTTCCAAATGAGCTATTTTGTGTTTATGAATAAATCTGTTGAAAATCATGTGATTTTTTGGCCGGGCACGGTGGCTCAAGCCTGTAATCCCAGCTACTCAGGAGGCTGAGGCAGGATAATCACTTGAACCCGGGAGGTGGAGGTTGCGGTGAGCCGAGATCATGCCACTGCACTCCAGCCTGGCGACGCGAGACTCCATCCCCCACCAAAAAAAAGGTGTTTAATACCACTTATCTTCAGGAAGGATACAAGATTGAAATGAGCAGATACTATAGACAGTTGTGTTAATAAATAGTCCTTTTACAAATTTTATAGCAATCATCTTGCGATACAGTTCAATATACAAACATCTTAAGTATTATTGTACTAAAACGTTAATGATTCAAAGTATTTCCATTTTAAGGGAAAGGGTACTGAAAGTGGGATACACAAATGTTTATTCTTCTCTAT